ATTTGCGTTCTTTTTCAACTGCTCAAGAAATGTGGAATTATCTGAAGCGCATTTACAACCAGGACAATTCGGCAAAACGTTTTCAGTTGGAGTTAGACATCGCCAACTACAAACAAGGTGATTTGTCTATTCAAGAATACTATTCTGGTTTTTTGAATCTTTGGGCAGAACACTCTGCTATTATACATGCTAATGTTCCCAAGACCTCTCTTGCGGCTGTTCAAGAGGTCTACAACACAAGTAGGCGAGATCAATTCCTCATGAAGCTTCGTCTAGAATTTGAGGTTGTCAGAGGTGCTTTGCTAAATAGGAATCCTGTTCCTTCTTTGGATACATGTGTTGGTGAACTTCTCAGGGAGGAACAACGTCTCCTTACTCAAGGAACCATGTCTCATGATACTGTCAGTTCTGAGCCTGTGGCAATTGCATATGATGCTCAAAATAGAAATAAAGGTCGTGATATGCAACATGTCCAATGTTTTTCTTGCAAACAGTTTGGACATATTGCTCGTAGCTGCAGTAAGAAGTTTTGTAATTATTGCAAACAACAAGGTCATATCATTTCTGACTGTCCCACGCGTCCTCCACGACCAGCACATCATTCGGTGAAGGCATTTCATGCCACTACAGGCCATACAATTGGCTCTTCCACCACTGGTGCATCAGATGACAATGCTCTACAACCTGAAATGATTCAACACATGGAACTTTCTGCCCTTTCAGCCTTGGGTATTAAGGGTAAGTCTTCTCATGTTTCTCGTCCATGGTTTATTGATTCTGGTGCATCCAATCACATGACAGGTTCATCTGAAAACTTGCACAATTTACATTCTTATCATGGTAATCAGAAAATTCAGATTGCTAATGGTAATACCTTGTCTATCACTAACGTTGGGGACATAAACTCGGATTTTCAGAATGTGCTTGTCTCACCTGGACTTGCTTCTAATTTATTGTCTGTTGGTCAATTGGTGGACAATAATTGTAATGTTAATTTTTCTCGGTCTGGTTGTCTTGTGCAGGAGCAGGTGTCGGGGAAAGTGATTGCGAAGGGGCCTAAAGTGGGAAGATTGTTTCCAATACAGTTTATTTCTAATCATTTGTCTCTTGCTTGTCATAATGTTTTGAATTCCTATGAGGATTGGCATAGAAAACTAGGTCATCCAAACTCTTCTGTTTTGTCTCATTTATGTAAAAGTGGCTTGTTGAGAAATAAAAATGTTATTCCTGATGCCTCTGTTTCATGTTCTGTTTGTAAATTGGCTAAAAGTAAAACACTTCCTTTTCCGTCTGGTGCTAATCGTGCTTCCACTTGTTTTGAGATGATTCATAGTGATGTATGGGGAATGTCTCCTGTGGTTTCTCATGCTCACTATAAATATTTTGTCACATTTATTGATGATTATAGTCGTTTTACTTGGATATATTTTCTCCGTTCTAAATCCGAAGTGTTTTCTATGTTTAAGAAATATTTGACATATGTTGAAACTCAATTTCAAGCAAGTGTTAAAATTTTTCGATCTGACTCTGGTGGTGAGTACATGTCTCATGAGTTTCAGGAATACCTTCAACAAAAAGGCATCTTGTCTCAACGGTCTTGTCCCAATACCCCTCAACAAAATGGCACGGCAGAACGTAAGAATCGTCATTTGCTTGATGTAACACGCACCTTACTTCTCCAAGCTTCTGTACCATCCCGATTTTGGGTGGAGGCTCTTTCCACGGCTGTCTTCTTGATCAATCGTATTCCTTCTACAGTTATTGATCTTGATTCTCCTTTCTTCCGTCTATTTAAAATTCATCCTGATTATAGTGCTTTACATACTTTTGGGTGTGTGTGTTTTGTTCACTTACCTCCTTTTGAAAGGCATAAGCTTGGAGCACAATCCGTTCAATGTGCATTTATGGGATATAGTAACTCTCATAAGGGATTTGTGTGTTATGATGTCTCTAACCATCGTTTTCGCATTTCTAGAAATGTGACATTTTTTGATAATCAGTTTATGTTTCCCTGTGGTTCTCCTGCCATTAATGATATTGTTACTCTTCCTAAGTTTTCTATTATGCCTCAAGCTATAGAACGTTATAAACCAGGTCATGTATATGTCAGAAAACACAGACAACAGGTTCCCACACCCCTTCCCGATGCTGAACTGCCACCTGATCCTGTACCGGTTGAACCACGACGTTCTGGTCGAATATCCCGCGCACCAGATAGATATTCACCAGACAGGTATGATTCCTCACATACTTCTCTGACTGCCACACTCTCTAGCATATCTATTCCTACTTGTTACTCACAGGCTGTTAAAGATGTGGGATGGATAAAAGCAATGACTGAAGAGCTCCAAGCTCTTCAAGAGAATTTCACATGGGATATCGTCACTTGTCCTCCAAATGTAAAACCTATAGGTTGCAAATGGGTGTATTCTGTGAAACTGAATTCTGATGGGTCCCTCAACCGTTACAAGGCTCGTTTGGTTGCGTTAGAAAACAAGCAGGAATATGGAATTGATTATGATGAGACATTTGCATCGGTTGCCAAAATGACAACTGTCCGCACAATCATGTCTATAGCTGCTTCTAATGGGTGGACTCTTCATCAAATGGATGTGAAGAATGCTTTTCTTCATGGTGACCTGACAAAAGATATTTATATGACTCCACCTCAAGGCTTATTCTCTTCATCTAAAGGCGTGTGTAAGCTCAAACGCTCCTTATATGGTTTGAAACAGGAACCTCGAGCATGGTACGAGAAATTCCGCTCCACTATACTTGGATTCTCCTTTACTCAGAGTCAGTATGATTCATCTTTATTTATTCATAGCACATCTGCGGGTATTGTTCTGCTTCTTTTGTATGTTGATGATATGGTTATTACTGGTTCGGATCATGCTTCCATTCAGCGACTTAAGCAACAGTTACAGGCCTCATTTCATATGAAAGATCTGGGTAATCTACATTATTTTCTTGGTCTTGAGGTTCATTCTACATCCAAGGGCATCTTTCTCCATCAACACAAGTATGCTACAGATTTGATTTCTATGGCCGGTCTTGAATCGGCTAATCCAGTAGATACTCCTCTTGAGGTTAATGTTAAATATCATCGTGATGATGGGGATCTGTTGCCTGATCCCTTATTGTATCGACAACTTGTGGCTACCCACAAGTTGTCGATACAATAAGGGATCAGGCAACAGATCCCCATCATCACGATGATATTTAACATTAACCTCAAGAGGAGTATCTACTGGATTAGCCGATTCAAGACCGGCCATAGAAATCAAATCTGTAGCATACTTGTGTTGATGGAGAAAGATGCCCTTGGATGTAGAATGAACCTCAAGACCAAGAAAATAATGTAGATTACTCGCCCTGACATATCTTTTGCTGTTCAACAAGTAAGTCAATTCATGCATTCTCCTCGCCATCTTCACTTGGCTGCAGTTCGTCGTATAATTCGCTACTTAAAAGGAACCTCTCACCGCGGATTATTCTTTTCCGTTGGAACTTCTCTTCAGTTGAGCGCTTATAGTGATGCTGATTGGGCAGGGTGTCCTGATACTCGTTGATCTGTTACTGGTTGGTGTATGTTTCTTGGTTCTTCATTGATCTCTTGGAAAAGTAAGAAGCAAGCAAGAGTTTCTAAATCTTCTACTGAATCAGAGTATCGTGCCATGTCTGCTGCGTGTTCAGAAATACTTTGGCTTCGTGGTCTTTTGGCTGAACTTGGATTTCCCCAAACAGAGTCAACTTCACTTTATGCTGACAATACAAGTGCCATCCAAATTGTTGCAAATCCTGTTTTTCATGAACGCACCAAACATATCGAAGTTGATTGTCATTTAATACGTGACGCCTACGATGATCGAATAATATCACTTCCTCACGTCAGTACGCAGTTGCAGGTTGCAGATATTTTTACCAAGGCTGTTCCACGCCCAAGACATTAGTTTCTTGTTAGCAAATTGATGCTCCTTGACCAGCCGCATCAATTTGAGGGGGATGTTAATTAGGAAATAATCTTTGCAGTTATTATGAGTAATTTACATTCATAGAATAGGAAATTAGTCATTATGAATTGTAATTAGTTATTATTAGCTGTAATTAGTTATTATGAGTTGTAATTACCGACACTATTATATATAGTATGAAAGGCAATGAGAAAGGCATCAAGCCAAATTTCATGACATCTTGGTGCTTTGATTTTGTCTTGTTACTGCACATTACTTTCTGGTCCAATTATGCACATATTTTTCATTCAAGTTTTGTTGTAACATCCTCTCTGTCAATTATATGGTCATATGTCAAGTCTTGCAATCAGATTCAAGGTGTTTATTGATAGTTTGTCCAAGTTACTCTTGTCATAGTGTATCTCCCGCCATGTCACAATTTGATCTTCAATGGTAAGCTCTCTTAGTCATTGATTTCAACACAGTCAGTAGTCTCTCGCAGTCCTTTCATCCAGCCAAAATCATGGTTGAGTCGTTGGCACCTGTCACTGATGACATGTCCCATATAAACTATTTTATTTTTTATGGTCCTGATGCCTTACCATTGTCAAAGTTGAGTTGCCGCCACGTTCACTCTTAAGTTGGTTATTCAAGTGAATGACAACGCCTAGCCCAATCTCGTTTCAGTTTGATTTGGATGCACTTTGTGAAAGTTTATTGTGGTTCTAATACTAGTTGGTTTGACTTTTTCTTACACAGGGTATATTTGTAACAAATATAAGATTAGAGTAAGCTTCCGCTTGAGGGAGAGTGTTAGAGTATCTTTTAGTATCAGATTTAATATTAATTATTGTTATCATGATTTGTTCTTAATTTGAGATTGAGTCTAAGTATCCTTATAAATAGAGATTAGTATTAAGTCTTTTGTATCATGTCAATATTTATTATCAATAATATTTTTCTCTCATGTTTTATACCTAATCAATAATATTTGACATTTGATTTGGTTTTGTTTTGATATCTGATTATTTCCTTGAATTGTAATAGGGAGATCCTGTATGGGCCATAAGTTCTGACACAGTCAACTCTCTTGTGGGTCTTTCTCTCAATTTCTTTTTCATCTTGCCTTTCACGAATGTTGGTATGTTTGCATATTGCTCTTTACAACTAATAAATAATGTTTAAATTGATTTCAGTTGTTCTTGTGACAGCCCATTTGAATGTCAGCTAAGAATAACTGATAGGTTCATGATTTATCTTATCTTCCATTATTTTTATATTTGCCAATAAATTGGTTTCTTCCCACAGTTTTTCTTAAGATTTCTTCGTATTTTCATTATCTTTCTTTTGGGGAATCTTGATTATATTAGTTGCCATGTCTAGCGATACCCCCACTAATATAATCATTTTTAACAAACCTATTAAACTTGTCATGATTTGAGAACTATGGAGAATATATACACTGTTCTGGTTATGAAGAAATTATTAGGGATATGTCATTGCACTTCAATGAATTTTTTACTGACGATTTTGGCAGAGTAGTTGGCATTCGTCTGATTGATGCCCCAATTCTTCATCCTGTAAGTGTCACTATACAAAGTAAAATATGATTGGCACCAATACACCCCCATTTTCTGTACCCTGATGTTAGGACAGTTTTTGGCTTCAGATGTCAGAAGGACTATTCAACTTTGTGATTGGCTGGACATTCATGTTTGCTCCATTACTATTCACAGATCAAAAGAGAGACAGATACAAGGGGTCTCTTGATGTACTCTGGGGCCTGCAAATGTTCCTCACAAATAGTATGTTTCATAGAACTCTTGCTTGACTAGTTCTTTTGATTTGATTTCATCTTATTTTTCATAAATATATATATATATATATATATATATATATATATATATATATATATATATATATATATATATATATATATATATATATATATATATATATATATATATATATATATATATATATATATATATATATATATATATATATATATATATATATATATATATATATATATATATAACCACTGTTTTTCGAGATTCTTGAATGACAACACTGATATGTGTGCGTTGTAATTGTCTCACATGTCGTAACACCTTTTTGTGATGCCAGCATTTTTGATCCCATACATGGCAATCCGATTGAATAATGCTGATGATGATAATGTTCCAATCAAAAGTTCAAATTTGAGCTCTGTTATGACAAATGGTGCTCCATTTGTTGGACTGATTGGCGGTGGTGTTTGTCTTATATCTATAATTTGGGCTCTTTTTGGTCGAATGGATGCAAATTTTGGTGGCATAGTAGACAGACGGGAGTACTTGGTGGGTTATCTTGGATCAGAAAGGCTGGCTTATGCCTTCATATGGGATATATGTCTTTATACGATTTTCCAACCTTGGTTGATTGGTGACAATCTGCAGAATGTTCAGCAAAATAAGGTTGCAGTAGTGAAGTATCTTAGATATGTACCAGTTGTTGGGTTAATGGCCTATCTTTTTTGCTTGGAGCAGAAAGAGGTTTAACTTTTGTGTGGATGATTATTTTGCACTAAATAGAGCTTTTCAGTCAAGAGTGATCTATCAACACTTTTTTGAGAAACCAAACAGTTTCATGTATGTATCAATTCCTTGATGGGATAGACGTCTTAATGATTTGTTTAGTTTCTTTGTAATTGGGTTGGGTACCCCTAATATCTCTTAATTCAATTTGTTTAAAAAAATTTTTTTTAGAGTCGGAGTACAACTTGATTCCTTAATTTTTAAAAAAACATCTCAATTATACAAAATGTATCCTATTAGGAATTTTTCACCCAAATAACCATGTTTCCACACAAATATTTCCAATCTACCCATCTTTCCAATATATTATCCAATCTACCCTAGTTTGGCTTTTTTTTTAATTTTTTTTACAAGGGGGCGCCATGGGGGTTGGAGCCTCCCTTATAACTTGTATGGGGGCGCCATGGGGGTTGGAGCCACCCTACAAATTATAAAGGGGGCGCCATACCCATTGGAGCCTCCCTTAAATGCCCTAAAGGGGGGCGCCATCTGTTGCACCCCAAAATTTGACCAACATTTATTTGTTCATTGAATGTTTGAAAGTTGATACCTTCATCAGAAAGTTCAAGAGATCCCCAGAGAAGTGGGTTGAAACCAGGGTTGTGTGCTTCACAGTTTGAAAGTTGTGGGTGCTCCTCAGATGATTCTGAGACTTGGAGAATGAACTTGATGTTTTGAGAAAGCCTATGAGATGTCTTGATAGCCATCATGAAGCCCAGAGAGGTCATTGAGCAAGAATTCAGAAGATTCAACCATGAGTGATAGAATTAGGGTTTTGACTGGGTCAACCCTAGATCAGCTGAAGATTTGGAGAAGGTTGAGACTTAATCCAAGGGCCATGAGATCATGGAATGATGCATAGAGCTTATATAAAGATGATTCCTAGACCAACTCATCATGATTGAGGAGTTTTGAGAAGTTTCAAGTTAGGGTTTCTGAGGATTGTCAGTGGAAAAACCCTAATTTGATCCCTATTTTCCAGGCAGTTTTAGCTCTAGATGTGATTGATATATCATCTTACCCATAACATGAATGTTGTAGAGCTTGTTCTTAGCTTTAATTTGAGTGGTGGAAGTCCTTGATAGGAGTTACAGAGCTCAAGTTATGGTTTTGACAAATTACAGGTCAGCAGAGGTGTGTGAATCTGGGTCCTTGAAAGTCACCCAACTTGCAGACAACTTTTGCCCTAGTAGGATGATTCCTATGACTTCTTGGTCAACATGAATGTTGAAGAGCATCTTCTTAGCTTTAATTTGAGTGGTAGAAGTCCTTGATTGGATTTGTGGAACTCAACTTATGGTTTGGACAAGACAGGGGTATTTTGGTCATTTGTCAGTTATAGGTCATTTTAGCCAATGCCTAAAACTCCTATTTCCAAGCCTCAAATGGAAAAACTCAAAACATGAAAGTTGCTCAAAATGTGATTTTAAGTCTAGAAAGGAGGTCACAAATTGTTGAAAAAGCTCATAGCACAAGATTCCATGATTGGTCAAAAATGAACTAAAAATGACTTATAACTTTGAAAAGTTGAAATTGAAAAGTGTTTTGGGAGATCTACAAATCCAAAATAGGTCATCCAATATATCATTTTGATTGGAAAAAACATTTTGAGAAGATTGGTTTAAGTAGAATTTTCATTTGAGGCTTAAAAGATGAGGTTCCTTTGGAAATTTGTTACTTAAGAAAGAAGGCAATGTTGGAAAACTTAACATAAGGCAATTACAAGGCATGTGAGCTTCCTTACCATTTCATATTATCATGTGGTGAGATTTTAAAAGGTGTGTAAGTTGGTTAGAAGTGATATATCATGAGATAACCAATATGGCATAACATGAGATTTTAAGGAAACTTCCATCACATTCTAGATGATTCTAGAAACTTCCATTGATTGTTATAAAAAGAATGCATCAAGGAGTGTTAGAGGTTGGTGAAAGTGAAGCCAAGTCAGAGGAGAGAGAGAAGTGCATAGCCATTGGAGAAGTTTCTTCAAGTTGAAGCAACTTGAGTTTTCTTTCACTTCAAGCCACTTCCTTCCATACAAGTGCAAACAGAAGGCTCTTCACCATTGTAGGATCTCATTGAAGCCATTTCAAGCTTTGGAACCATCTCTACATCACTGCACCATTAACTTCTTGACAGGTTTTTCTTCACCCCCATACCTCCTAAATTATGCTGTTTTAGTCAGTTCTTTAGGCATAGAGATAATGTGTTAGGGTAGAGGATTCTTTCCCTCGAATTAGAGCAAGATTGGTGAGGTTTCACACCAGAACCATGAATCTTTGATTTCCCATAGCTATCTGTTTAGGAGGTTTTAGGTAGCATGAATTGGTTTAGAATCACCAGGATAGCATCAAGAATATCTGTGGATCATTATGATGAAGTTTAGTGAGGATTGGTATCAGGTTAAGTTTGTGAACCGTGTTTGTACCAAGATATTCAAGGGCTCTGTTTGGATTATCCACGAGGAGTTAAGAAAAAGTGAACGTATGGTTGTAATCTAGGCATTTCGTAGATGTTTTTTCATGTTTAGGTCGAGGGGAGCCGTGGTGTGTGGAGAGAGCTAGAAGAGCTCGAACGTGCGTGCATGGAGGCAAGGGGTTCTGCAAACCCTAGTTTGGTTGGAGAAGACGAAGGGATGTCCGTTGGATCAAGTCCTAATATTGACTAATTCCTCAGATCCAAGGGCTGTGAACGAGTCTGAGAAAAGAGAGGGAAGATTCAAATTGTATGAAACGCGTCGTTTCATTAATAAGCCATTCTGGGCTTATTTTCTATCCCCACCCCCCTTTATTTCTGGCCCAATATTTTTAACTGGCGCGCTTTACTTAATACACCCCCCACCCCTTTAATTCTTTTATTTCTTTTTAATTTCCTTTTAATATTTTCTGTTTTTGAATAATTCATATAAAATAGATAAAAAATGATTTTTAATTTCTTCTTTTTTCTATGAGTAGATTAAAGTGAGTAGAAAATTATAAAAATAAAATTGAGATTTTATTTTTAGGTTTAATAATTTTAGTAGATTTCCCAATTAAATAGCTTTTTAATTGTTTCATTTTGGTATTTGATTTTGTAGGAATTGTTTTAGTACTTTCCATTAATCTTTTTTACCCATTCTTTTTGGTGCAATTAGATGATGAGTCATACTTCCCCATAGGATTTTTTCTAGATTTTTTAGAATTAATCTTGATTAGTTTAATTAGGGTTGACTTAGGATAGTCTAATTAGGGTTTAGAATTGTGCATAGGTGATGATTCCTTTCTTTGATTGAGTTTTATCTTGATTTTTAGGTAGAAACCTTTGTAGATGTTATGAGAAGGTGTTGAGGACCCTTATGAATATTTGTTGAATTTTTCCCCATTAGTTTAATATTTTTAGGTATTATCTGAAGATTGCCTGATGATGTGATTTGTTCAGTGGGTTATCTGTTCATCTGTGGGGTTCTTTCTGAGGAATTGGATGAAGGGCTTGGGTTGCCTTGAGGATATTGATGGAAAGCATCATGAGGGGAAGCTTGTAGATCAAGATGCAGAGACCCAGAGCTTGGCTGATGCCCTGTTGGTGAGGTTTGAGAGCCTGAAGTTTGAAGGAAGTTCATGGTACTTTCCTGAGGAAGGCACTATGAATGACTTTCATCCTTCCTTCTCACCTCTTTCTTAAGTATCCAATGATGTTGGAGCCAACTTGTGAGTTTAATTTCTCCTGAGGAGGAATGTAAACTGATCACCTGTTGATTGAGCCACATGGGATACAACTCCTAAGTGGAAGCCTCCTAGTACTTTCCTGAGGAAAGTCCTATGGGTCTATTCACTTAGTTCCACTAGTTGATCTAGGATTTCTTAAGTATCCAATGATGTTGGAGCCAACTTGTGAGTTTAATTTCTCCTGAGGAGGAATGTAAACTGATCACATGTTGTTGAGCCACATGGGATACAACTCCTAAGTGGAAGCCTCCTAGTACTTTCCTGAGGAAGGTCCTATGGGTCTATTCACTTAGCTCCACTAGTTCAGATAGGATTTCCTAAATATCCAGTGATGTTGGAGCCTGCTTGTGAGTTTAATCACTCCTGAGGAGGGATGTAAACTGATCACAGTGGTTGAGCCACATAGGGTATGATTCCTGAGTATACACCTCTTAGTGTTCTCCTGAGGAAGACACTATGAGCTTGCTTGCTTAGCTCCCTTTCTTTGGTAAGCTTATTCTGAAGCTTGAAGACTGGGAATGATTTCTCCTGCCTAGGGTTCTGCTTGAGAGTTTTGCTTAGGTTTGTTTAGATCCTGTGATTAGGGTTAGGGTTAGAGAATAGATGATTCTTTCTCATGTGAGTTTTGTTTGCCTGATGGTACTTCATTTCCTTTATCTGTATGATTGCAGTTTACTGTTTTGCTTGATAGCATGTTGTTGATTTTCAGTATGATTACTGTTATTTCATGACTGGCTTGAGGTCGAGACGAGCTTGTGGAGGCTGAAACCCCACACATATTTCCTCCCTCACTTGCATTGCATGCATTTTACTGTTAAAACTGATGTTTTTGTCTGTATTCTGTGTATCATTGACATGATCCCTTAGGACTCTCATTTCTTCTGATGAGGATTTGATGATAGACTTTTAGGTTGAAACCTATGCATGACAACATCTAGGAGTTCCCTGTTCAAACCTCAACCATAGGATGAATCCATGGCATGATAACGGTAGGACTTGATAGTCTCCCTCCTAGTTGAGCCATTTTTTCCTGTAGTTTCCCGAACTACGTTTGCTCTGATCTTTCATACCAGATGAAAGTACGTAGGCATAGGATGCGACATCCTAGCGAGCAACCTCCCCCATCTTCACCCGTAGTTAGCCGAACTACGTTGACTCTGATTTCTCATTCTCTGATGAGAATACGTAGGCACAAAGTGCGACGCTTTGTCGAGTCATTTTTCTTTTCTTTTTTCAGCCAGCCTTGATAGGTAGATAGAT